AGGACCATGAGGAACCCCGATCTGGAGAGCCTGACTGGCCGCGGTAGGTGTGTGTTTGTCGGTGTTTTTGTGTGAGCGCTCTGGAGGGACTGCCCCTCCATCAGGGCTCTTATCTGGGTGTTTGCCAGCTGCTGCGTCAGCCACAGTTTGAGCCTGGATTCGAATCTGTAATAAATTCTTGCTGGCTTAATCAAATTGGCCTCAGTGGTCTATCTCTTGGGGACTCGCTCCGTAACAGTACTGACCTAGGATTGTTATTTGGATGACAGTACTGAGTGTGGGATTACCATGAGCCATAGTAAGACTCAAGTTGATTTGAAAGGTGAGGCATACAACTGCTTAAGTATTGCCAAAGTTTGTAAATTTGGTTTGCCTTGTTATCAGAGGGACATCTTTTCAGATGGGATTGACTGTTCCTAAACCTGAGTCTCACAGTAGGGCCTTAATAGTTTAGTAACCCATTCCTGAGTTAAGCACCTAAGGTTTCTTGATATTCCTACTGACATCTTATGGCAAGTATCATATTGGTATAATTGGCCCAGGTTTTTCATTACCTGTATAAGAGAGGTATTATTATTATTATTATTATTATTATTATTAGGGGGTCAGTGCACAAATTTGTGTACATTGGAAGAAACTGTAGGCTGAGAGGCTATGGTAGGCACAGGAGCAGGTCTTGGCCCATCCTCTGTGCCCATGCTCAGCCCTGCCCTCCATGCCCTCCCTCCCATGTCTGCTGGCTCACTTTGATGACAGTGACCAGTGCCCTGCCTTGGTCTGGCACCTCCACTCACCTGTTCCACCATCACCTGGGGCGAAACCTGATATGTTACGTACTCTACTGCCTGCTGCCAACGCCAGCCATTTTTTGAATGCAGCTCCTGGTGATCAGTGCATGTCCTAATGACTGGTTGTTCAGTTGTTCTGCTATTCAGTGTATTTGAATATTAGAGTCTTATATATATCAACTAGAGGCCCGGTGCACAAAATTCATGCATGGGGGTGGGGGAGGTGTCCCTCAGCCTAGCCTGAACCCTCCCCAATCTGGGACCTCTTGAGGGCAGTTGGACATCCCTCTCACAATCCAGGACTACTCACCTGCCTGTCTGCCTGCCAGCCTGATCACCCCTAACCATTCCCCTGCCAGCCTAATCAATGCCTAACTCCTCCCCTAATGGCCTGGTTCTCCCCCAAAATGTTCTCCCCTGCAGGCCTGGTCCCCCCTAACTGCCCTCTCCTGTAGGCCTGGTCTCCCCCAACTGCCCTTCTCTGCTATCCTGATCACCCATAACTGCCCTCCCCTGCAGGCCTTGTCCCTCCCCTAATTTCTCTCCCCTGCAGGCCTGGTACCCCCCCCCCCCAACTGCCCTCCCTTGCAGGCCTGGTCCCCCTCAACTGTCCTCCCCCGTAGGCCTGGGTTCCCTCAAACTGTCCTCCCCTGCAGGCCTGGTCCCCCACAACTGCCTCCCTTGCAGGCTTAATCTCCCCCAACTGCCCTCCTCTGCCAGCTCAGTCACCCCTAACTGCCCTCCCCTGATTGCCTGATCACCCACAACTCCCCTCCCCTGCAGGCCATCTTGTGGTGGCCATCTTGTGTCCATATGGGGGCAACCATATTTGACCACATAGGGGTGGCCATCTTGTGTGTTGGATTGATGGTCAATTTGCATATTACTCTTTTATTAGATAGGATTATTGTACAAAAGCAAGCAAGAATTTATTGAGGCGCAGCAGAAACATACTTAGGGCAGTGAAACAAGGAAGGGTGTAGAAGCAACAGGAGAGCCTAGGCTGGGCTGCTTTGGCTTACTGGGAAGTCAGAGAAAGGGGGCCCTTGAAGACAGGTTCAGGGGGGTAGCCCCAGAGGAGCTGACACTGCTCACTGCTCCCCTGGTTGCAAGTCTCATGGGGTCCCTGGGAGGTTAGGAGACGCGCCTGTGGGGGAATGACAGCATGCTCCCTGGAGGGAGAGAGCAATAATGGAGGTATTATTAATGAGGTCCTCTAGATAGAAAGATCAGTGACTTGCTGAAATCCATCCACACTGAGCATTTTTCTGGCTTTAATTTTAGCATTTGGTCTGAAATATATATTAATAACTTATTAGGACAGCTCAAATAGTTTGGTACCCACACCTTTAAGATGGTTGGCCAACACCGAAGCATTCTGGGGCAGAGGCCTATGAGCGCACTCCTGGAGCTTGCTCCTATTGGTCCAGCCCGGGTAAGGGGCGGGCTATAGCCAGCTCCACACAAGTAACTGGCCTTTCCTGCGGCTCCGCCCCCGGAAGCAATTGCTAACGCCTGCGATTGGCCAGAACCTCTGCAGGCGGACTCGGAGCTGAGCATGGGGCTTTTCCGTGCTATCTGGGCAGCGGCTTGGTGGGCGACGTGTCCACTATGGATGGGGAGAGGCCTGGGGCTGCGGGGGGCGAGGGCCCCGAAACTGCCCGCCCCTTCAGCTTCAGCCCGGAGCCCACGCTCGAGGACATGTAAGCGGTCTTTCCCCGACCTGGGCCGAACAAGTCACCCCTCTCGCCCTTTTATTGGGGCGGGTCCCTCCACGTGTCGGAAGAAGTGTGCTGGTGTCCCAGCTCTGCTCTCTGCCCTCAGCCCTCTGACGAGCCTTCTAAGCTCATAGTCACGACGGGCCTAAGCTCATAGTGCACACCTGAGGCAGGGGACAGTGACGCCAGTGAATAATGTTAATGAAATATGGTAGCAATCATACTTGGGTAAAAACTACTGTTTAAATTTTAACCCTACTATTCTGACTTCGACCTTCACTTACTTGCTTTGTTCATTGCGCCATGGGCTTAGGGAAGATGAGTTCAAATTCTGGGCAAGGTTACAGGCAGAACTTTCTTTTTCTTTTCTTTTTCTTTTCTTTTTTAAAAAAATATATTTTATTGATTTTGTACAGAGAGGAAGGGAGAGAGATAGCGAGTTAGAAACATCGATGAGAGAGAGTCATCGATCAACTGCCTCTTGCACACCCCCTGCTGGGGACGTGCCCGCAACCAAGGTACATGCCCTTGACCAGAATTGAACCCGGGGCCCTTCAGTCCCCAAGCCGACGCTCTATCCACTGAGCCAAACTGGTTTCGGCCAGAACTTTCTTTTTCATTAAAGAGCCAGCCCTATGTACACTTAGTGGTTATCTCAATGCTGGCCTCGAAAACAATGCTGTTCTATCCAATTAAAAGAATGCACTTGGCATGGTATTGAGATTGTGGGCATATCTGGTCTCTGGCCTGCAAGGTCAGACAGCTAAGTTTCTCTTCATCAATCTTCAAACGGGCTAAAGCAAACTAGAAAGCAACATTTTATCTAGGAAGAAGAGCAGAAAATTCCAAACAACAGTTTGTTGTAGAACGGGGGTTTTCCTTCTCAGAACCTTTAAAAATAACTACCTGCCCCTAAAGTAGGGGTGTTGAACTCAATCAGAGAAGGGGCCAAAATCTAAAATCCAGCCTAAATCGTGGGCCGAATGGTTTACTGAACAGTCATAAACTGTCATTGTGATGGAAACGCAGCGGAGTGCAGTGATGACAGCGCGGTGCGGGCCACATTGCAAGGCCTGGCGGGACGGATTTGGCCCGAGGGCCTTGTGTTTGACACATGTGCCCTAAAGCCTCGCAGTTGTTTGGAGTCCGCCTGCGTGCGGTACTCTTGCACCTGCCCTGGCCAGTCAATAAACCCTTGTTTGTTTTTTTTAAAATAAATTATCAGCCTCCGGTTGTCTTATTTTGAACCCAGGGTTTGACCCCACAACAGTTAAGGCCCGCCCTGAGGAAATATTCGGTCCATGCTCTGCCCTCCAGGAATGGGCGAGAGAACTTAGACAAATGCAGTGAGAGGGGGAGGCATTATTTCTTGCTGAAGGAAACCAAGAAAGGCTCCTTAGGGGAAGTTCCCACGGACCTACAAGGTCTCTAAGATCCTAGGCTTTAGATATGCAGAGACAGGGGTGTGCCAGGTGGAGGAAACTGCAGCAGCAGCTACAGGAGGTGGAATGGTAGAGGGCATTGCTGGGTTTCCATGGAGGTTAGGGTCTGTGTGGAATGGTAGAGGGCATTGTTGGGTTTCCATGGAGGTTAGGGTCTGTGTAGGGGCTGGTCCATTTTACAGTCCCCTAAAAAAGACATGACTAAAGGCCATTCAAGGAGTTACTTTCAGGTGCGAGGCTCAGGAACCTCTGGAAGACAGCCTCTTGGTACTCTTCTCCCTCAGTACAAGTTTTGTTCAACCACCTCCAGATTCTGTCTCAGCAGGTGCCTGCTTCTGGCCCCACTCCCATGTTTCTCTGGTGTAGCTCCCACCTGCAGGGAGAGGTCTGATTTCTAGTGGGTTTCCTGTGAGATTCCAGCCAGTTTCCTAGAGGCCAGATTATTTATTTTTAATATATTTTACTGATTTTTTACAGAGAGGAAGAGAGAGGGATAGAGATTTAGAAACATCGGTGAGAGAATCATCCATCAGCTGCCTCTTGCACACCCCCTACTGGGGATGTGCCCACAACCGAGGTAGGTACATGCCCTTGACCGGAATCGAACCCGGGACCCTTCATTCCGCAGGCCGACGCTCCATCCACTGAGCCAAACCGGTTTCGGCGAGGCCAGATTTTTTAGACAGGCCATCAGGGATCAAATGCCATTTTTCATACTTAGCTGATGTGCTTCAGTTTCCTCATCTAAAATGAAATAATAGCGCCTACCTGATGGGGTTGTAAAGTTTAGGTGTCGATAGAGTACTTAGGACAATGCCCAGCACATAGGAGAAATTTGTAACGAATGTGCTGCATTTATGGACCCTTCCAGACCAGAGGTTATGAGAACATAACCAAGGGCCGAGGGTGGGGTGACTCCACACACACAAACCCAGTTCCGGGAACCCTTTTGGGCTAATAGCCCCTCTTGGTTCCATGACGATTCACTTAGGTCACCCAGGGGAAACCCCAACTTTGCTCCTCTCCCCACTGACCTCTTTCACAGGCACGTGTGCGTAAAGATGGAATACTTTATTCACTAACACGGGTCGAGGATTGTAGTGAGGGGAAAGAGGCCGCGGTCTCCAAAAATCCCGGGAGGGGATTTGCCATGTCTCCCACGTCCCGGGCAGCCAGTTCTGCCATCCCACCCTTTCCCAAACCAGGGTCCCGGGGTCCCTGTCCAGCCCCTGGGGGTCGGGGCCTGACATGCTCCTCCTCAGCCAGCACTAGCAGCCCGCAGCCACCAGGGGGCTCATCTGCTCTCGCACTCGGGGCAGCGCTCGGAGACGGTGGCGGCCGAGGTGCCCGGGGGCAGCTGGAAGTCCTGGCCGCACACGGTGCACATGTAGAGACGTTTTAGAAGGTGGGAACGGCGGTGGCGGACGCAGTGCGAGCTGAGGCGGAAGCGCCGGCCGCACTCGCTGCAGGGGTAGGGCCGCTCGCCCGTGTGCGTGCGCGAGTGCTCCGCCAGGTTGGACCGGTGGCCGAAACGGCGGCCGCACACGGTACAGCGGTGCGGCTTCTCGCCCGTGTGCACGCGCCGGTGCTTGGCCAGCGCCGAGCTCTGCGCGAAGCGCGTGCCGCACTCGGCGCAGACGTACGGCCGCTCCCCCGTGTGCGTGCGCCGGTGGCGCGCCAGGCACGAGCTGCCGCCGAAGGCGCGCCCGCAGTCGGGGCAGGTGTAGGGCTTCTCGCCCGTGTGCACGCGCAGGTGCTGCGCATAGTTGGAGCTCTGGGAGAAGCCGCGGCCGCACTGCGTGCACACGTAGGGCTTCTCGCCGGTGTGGCTCCGCCGGTGCTGCTGCAGGTTGGAGGCGGCGGAGAAGGTCTTGTCGCACTCCGGGCACTTGTAGGGCCGCTCGCCCGAGTGCATGCGGCCGTGCTTGGTCAGCGCCGACTTCTGGGAAAAGCGCTGGCCGCACTCGGTGCACACGAAGGGCCGCTCGCCCGTGTGCGTGCGGCCGTGCTTGGTCAGCGCCGACTTCTGCGAGAAGCCGCGGCCGCACTCGGCGCATTCGTAGGGCCGCTCGCCCGTGTGCGTGCGCGCGTGCTTGGCCAGCGTGGACCGGCGCGCGAAGGCACGGCCGCAGTCCGGGCAGGCGTGTGGGCGCGCGGGGTCGGCTGGCTGCGCGGAGGCCTTGCTTGCGATCTGCAGGGAAAGAAGAGATAGGTCAGTCCTGACCCACAGGTCCGGGAGCAGGAGACCTGGGTCTCTGCAGGCTGCATGCTCAGTCCCGCAGATGGAAAACAGGGAAGCCAGGGTGCCGCCCTCATAGCCCGGCTGCGCACAATTAGGTACTGCATTAATGTCCATAGCGCATGCCCTGTGTCATTCTGCCTGTTCTTTAATAACTCAGCAAGTATTTATTAAGGGTGTACAATGTGCAAACTGTGTTCTAGGCACTGGGATTCAGTATTATATTTTTTAAATTCCTGCTTTCGGGAAAAATGGATGAGGGCTGATATTAGGTGAATGTTTCAAATTTAAATAAGATTAAAAAACTGATGTAACAAGATCAAGTGAGAAAGCAGGCTACAGAGGGCACAGCAAGACCCTGAGGCACGGGTTTTCCCAGTGAAGCCCCAAGAATGACCAGAAAAAGTGCGTAGGGCCGAATGCATGGAGGGGAGGTTAATGGATGGGGTGCCCTGGAGGAGATCGCTTAGCCTAGGACCCTGGAATATGAAATTGATGGAGAACCATTAGAGACGTTAGACGGTACTTCGCAGGAACATGACTAGATCAGATTCATTTTATTTTTATTTTTTTATATATGTTTTATTGATTTTTTTTTTTTTCCAGAGAGGAAGGAAGAGGGTCAGAGAGTCAGAAAAGTCGATGAGAGAGAAACACAGGTCAGCTGCCTCCTGCACACCCCCTATTGGGGATGTGCCCGAAACCAAGGTACATGCCCTTGACCAGAATCCAACCTGGGACTCTTCAGTCTGCAGGCTGACGCTCTATCCACTGAGCCAAACCGGTAGGGCTAGATCAGACTCATTTTAAAAGCCTCCATCAGGATGCTGGGGCAGGAGGAGGCAGCAGGCAGAACAGGAGCCCAGAGAGAGAATTTTGGCAAGAGAATACAGTGGCTCAGGCCCAGGTGACAGAAGTGGTCTGCTTCTGAATATATTTTTGCCGTTTGAGATAACTGATATGATAAATAAGATCAGACATGAGATGTAAGGAAAAGAGGAGTCAAAATTACTTCAAGGATTTTGAATTTAGGTTCAAACAAAAGTCGAGCTGCCAACTGCAGACAGGAAGATGGTGGGAAGAGCAAGTGAAGGGCGAGATCTGTTTCAGGTCACATCTCCAATTCTTGATGATCTGGAGCTCAGGAGACAGGCCTAGGCCAGAGATGTTCATTGGGAAGCCGCCGGCCTGCAGATGGTTTTAAAGCTTGAGGCTGAATGAGATTACCCACAGGATGGGCAGAGAGAACCGAGGCACCAAAATGAGGAGCAGCCAATGAGGTAGGAGAGGATGGCGACTTAGAAGCCAGGCCAAAAGCGAATCCAGGCTTTTGAATAAATGAGCATAGACCCACTGGTGTGGCTTACTGGTTAAGCCTCATCCCATGAACCAGATCAAGGTTGAATTCCTGGTCAGGGCACAAGCTCCGGTTTCGGACACCATCCCCAGGAGGAATCCTGCAGGAGGCAGCCCAAGAATGATTCAGGCGTCCTCAAACTTTTTAAAGTGGGGGCCAGATCACGGTCCCTCAGAGAGCTGGAGGGCCGGACTATATGAACTACTAATTCCTACTGTAACACCTCGGCTGCGCTCACTGCCCAAAAAACCTGGCGGGCCGGATCAGACTCCTCTGCGGGCCGCATGTGGCCCGAGGGCCGTAGTTTGAAGACCCCTGTCTCAGATCATTGATGTTTCTATCTCCCTCTCCCTTCCTCTCTGAAATCAATAAGAAAAAAATAATAAAGAAATCAGCACAGTAGTGAGCGCTAAACATGCGACTAAAAATGGGCAAATACCAAACTAGGTGGTCAGTCAAGGCCCTTTCATGTGTTAAATTCTACAGCTATTAGATTTAAAAATAAGAATAAATAGTATTGCCAAAACCGGTTTGGCTCAGTGGATAGAGTGTCAGCTTTCGGACTGAAAGGTCCCAGGTTCGATTCCGGTCAAAGGCATGTACCTTGGTTGTGGGCACATTCCTAATAGGGGGTGTGTAGGAGGCAGCTGATTGATGTTTCTCTCTGTCCCTCTCTCTTCTTCTCTGTAAAAAATAAAAAATATATTTTTTTTAAGAAAAAGAATAGTATTTGCTCTATACTAAGAGTGTCCAATGGGGATACAATGTAGTATAGTAAGATATATAAAACTTGAAGTTTTATATATATATATATATATATATATATATATATATATATATATTTTTTTTTTTTAATATATCTTATTGATTTTTTACAGAGAGGAAGAGAGAAGGATAGAAAGCTAGAAACATCAATGAGAAAGGAACATCCATCAGCTGCCTCCTGCACACTCCCCACTGGGTGAGTGCCCGCAACCAAGGTACATGCCCTTGACCAGAATCGAACCCAGGACCCTTCAGTCCGCAGGTCGACACTCTATCCATTGAGCCAAATCGGTTTCGGCTAAAACTTGAAGTTTTTGAGTTTGTCTTCCTGTTTATGTTTTTTTTTGTTGTTTTGTTTTTTGTTTTTACATTTTATTGATTTTTTACAGAGAGGAAGGGAGAGAGATAGAGCTAGAAACGTCAATGCGAAAGAAACATCGACCAGCTGCCTCTTGCACACCCCCTACTGGGGATGTGTCCGCAACTAATGTACATGCCCTTGACCGGAATCGAACCTGGGACCCTTCAGTCCGCAGACCGAGGCTCTACCACTGAGCCGAACCGGTTTTGGCTATGTTTTGTGTGTGTTTTTTTTGTTTGTTTGTTTTTGTGTGTGTGTGTTTTTTTTGTTTTGTTTTTTGTTTTGTTTTTTGTTTTATCAGAGCAAAGCTCCCAGTTTCCTCCTCAGCTATTACTTGTCCAATTAATGACAGCAGCTACTATGAACTACTTCTCTGTGCCAGGAACTATGCTAAGTGTTTTTCACCATGTTCTCGGTAAACTTTCACAACCCTGTGGGTTAGGTGTCATTAGCTCCACTTTACAGAGAAGGAAACAGGACTCAGAAGGACAGTGACCACACAAGGCCCTACAGCCAATCAGTGTCACAACTGGGGTCTGAGCTCCAAGTCTCATCATCCCAAAACCCCTGTTCTCTTAACCCTGCTGCAGTTCTACCTCACCGACAAGTGTGAGGTCACCGCACAGCTTGTCTCCCTGCCCGGGACCCTTTTCAGAATCCCCTTCTTTTAGGTCAGTGTTTCCCAAACTTCTCTCATGATGAGAATCACCTGGTGGAGTTGTTAAAATACAGATTCCTGAATCCCAACTAAGAAGTGCTAAACTAGAATTTTTGGGAACATATAGGTAAAATTGTATACTTAAGCTTAGAGCACTAGTTAAGTGTACAATTAAGCTTAGAGCACTAGTTAAGTGTACAATTAAGCTTAGAGCACTAGTTAAGTGTACAATTAAGCTTAGAGCACTAGTTAAGTGTACAATTAAGCTTAGAGCACTAGTTAAGTATACAATTTTACCTATATGTTCCCAAAAATTCTAGTTTAGCACTTCTTAGTACAGATTCAGGAATCTGTACTTTAACAACTCCACCAGGTGGTTCTCATCATGAGAGAAGTTTGGGAAACACTGTTTTAGGTAATATGATCCTATCCTCTCTAGAGTCTAGCTCTTTGCTACAGACCAGCCTTATCAGCATCAGTGGGAACTTGTTAGAATCTCAAGTCTTACCACAGACCTACTGAATCAAAATCTTCACTGTCACAAGATTCTCAGGTGATTTGTATGCTTGTTAAAATTAAGACACTTTTAATCTAGAAGAGAGGACAACCCCTGGAGAAGGCAGGTGGAAAAGGTGAAGAGGGGTTACAGGCTGGAGGACCACACAGGCAAAGTCTTGGAGGTGAGAAAGGGCAGGTGTGTTTGAAGCTGGGTGTGGGATGGGTGTTGGGTCATGAGGTCATGGGGTGCAGAGCTTTGAATGGCAGACCTAGGAGCTGAGACTTTATCCTGAGGGAAACAGAAAAACACTCAAAGGTCTGAGCAAAGAGAGAGAGAGGATTAGATGTGCACAGGCCTTGGAGAAAAATCTTTGTGTTCATTAAGGAGAGGTTGGATTTTTAATTTTTTAATATATATATTTTTTATCGATTTTAGAGAGGAAGGGGAAGGGAAAGATCGATAGAAATATCAATGATAAGAAAGAATCATTGATCAGCTGCCTCCTGTATGTCACACACTGTGGATCAAGCCCACAACCCAGGCATGTGCCCTTGACTGGAATCAAACCTGGGATCCTTCAGTCTGCAGATCAACACTCTATCCACTGAGCCAAACCAGCTAGGGCTGGAGATGTTGGATTTTGATAGGCAGTGAGAGAATGACTCGGCACCTGCATGCAGCATGATTCAGGCCTGTTCTGGACAATGACTGGCCTTGGGACTGGGTGATGACAGTGAAGAGATACAGGATGTCAGCACTGGAGAGAGCTTGGGAGATGACAATTTTCTAGAAACAGACTCGGGGAGACCACACAGCAAGCTCATGAGCCATCTTGTGGGCAGAGTGCTGTGCTAGATGTTGATGGGATATGTGTAAGTAATCCTCACTCCTGCCCTCCTCCTCCACATCCAGGCACCCAGAGGACACTCAGTCTGGCTTTCAAAAACCTCACTTTCATTATCTCATTTTACAGCTGAGAAAGCCAAGGCAAAGCTGAAAAATGGTGAAGTTGGGATTCGAACCGATGCTTTTAACGGGGTCTAGCCCTCTGTACGATTCATGACTAGCCATGCCCAGCCTCCTCCATCCCATCCTTAGCTCGAGCCGGCCCAATCAAGGTTCACAAACATCCCCCACTCTGTCTTGTCTCCACGGCTGTCACTGCCGGAGCGCAGGCCGCCAGCCTCCCATGGCCTGTTCTCCCACAACAGCCGTGATCTTCCGGACAGAAAGCCAATTGCCGCCTCTGCTGGGAGCCTCTGATGGAGCCGGGTAACCTCACGCGGTGTGTAATCCCTGTGCTCGCTCCCAGCACCTGGAGCTCTCCGGCCCTGTCTCCTCTGAGCCTTTGCTTTTGCTGCTTCCTCCTCCTGGAATGCCCCTCCTCTGCCTCCGTTTGCCAAGTCCCCGCTGAGCTCTGTCTGTGAACCTTCCCCACTGCCTTGAGATGTCTGCCCTCAATCCTCTGTCCAGGCCTCCATGTTGGTATCCCTTTCACACCCAGCCCCGGGATACAGCCCCAAAAGGTCTTCGATAAAAATGAGTTGAGAGTTCTCCAGAAGGCCCTCGCTGGTTTGTTCAGTGGGTAGAGCGTTAGCCGGGGGGCTGAAGGGTCCCGGGTTGTATTGTGGTCAGGGGTACATGCCTGGGTTGCAGTTTCGTTCATCAGTAGGGGGCATGCAGAAGGCAGCAGATCAATGATTCTCATCATTGATGTTTCTATCTCTCCCACTCCCTCTCTGAAATCAATACCAAATGTGTGTGTGTGTGTGTGTATATATATAAATATATATATATTTAAAACAATCCTCCAGAAGGATGACAGACCAAGGCCTTAAAGTTTAAGAAGAATAAATATGAATAATATTTACCTAGTATTTAGGATGTGCCATACACAATTCTTGCTCTTTACATGTATTAACTCATTCATCCTCACAACCCTAAGAAGTCGGTGCGGGCATGACTTTACTTTTACAAACGAGGAAAGTGAGGCACAAAGATATTAAGATTAATTTAAGAGATTGCCCAAGGTGATACCGCTGGTGACTGATGGAGATGGAAGTCTACCCTGAGCTCTAGAGTCTGAGTTCTCTTTATTTTAAAAAATATATATATTTACATTCATTTCAGAGAGGAAGAGAGAGAGAGAGAAACATCAATGAAGAGGGAGAATCATTGATTGGCTGCCTCCTACACCCTCCACCCCTCACTGGGAATCAAGCCTGCAACCTGGCCATGTGCCTTGACCAGAAATCAAACTGTGAATTCCAAGTTCATTGGTTGAGGTTCAACCACTGAGCCACATCGGCCAGGCTGGAGTCTGCGTTCTTAACTCCTAGGTGGAATGGGGAGATCAGGAGATCCTCATGGGCCAGAAGAGGCAGACTAAGCTAGGATGAGGGGCTAGGAGGCCTGAGAAAAACAGACCTACCTATTGTAGTTATTGTGACTGGGAGCAGAGGCCAACCCAGCCAGCCCCCGCCCCCTAGGGCCCACCGCACCCACTAGGGGGCAGCAGAACGTTCTTTCCCTGGCAACTGGCTCCCTTGCTGGAAGAAACCAGAGCCTGGGCCCAGAAACCTGGCGGAGCCAGAGTTCTCCAGGTATGAGCAGGGCGGCACTGGAGGCTGTGGCAGTTCGGGGCTGGAATGGGGAAACCCAACTCATGTTCTCACATTAAAGCTCCTCCCTTTCAACCTGCCTCACCCTCAGGATAAATCCCAAATGCCCTACCCGCCTGCCACACACGCTCATCCAGGCTTCTCCCAGTGCCCCACTCACCCCCTGAGCCACTGAGAGGCCCATTTCTTCTGCCTGGAGACGTCACTCACCTCACCCCTCACTGGCACTGGTCTCAGATTAGCCAAACTGTCAAGCTTCCTGGGCCTCAGTTGCCTCACCTGTAAAATGGGACAAATATTACCTATGTTATAGAACTGAGAAGGTTAAAACCGTATTTGGAGAACAGTAAATGCTACCAAGAGTCAGGGGTCTCTGTTGCCTAACCTTGGCCCCTCCCCCACCAGTCTGCATTAGGTTCCCAGCTCTGGGCTTCTCCCCCCTGGTGGCTGCTCTCATCACGCAGGATTGTAGCTGCGCCGTTACTCAGCAGTCTGCCAGTGCTACGCAGCAAGCTCCATGGGAACCAAGGAACATCTGTACATGGTCACCCAGCACAAACGCTGGCACAGAAGGTGTGACACCTCTTTGACCTCAGCATCGCAGTGGGGCAGAAGGATGGGTTGCTGATCCTCAGATTCCAGGTTAGGGATCGGGGTGTGGGACACGTACCTCCTTCTTGTCCACGGGGATCTTGAGCTTCAGCACCTCATACTTCTCCTGGCCCTCCTCCTCATCCTTCACCAGCAGCACCATCTCCTCTTGCATCTCCTCCTCCTTCAGCATCTGCTGTTCGTCAGGCATCTTGGTGTCCTAGGGTGGGCAGCTGGGTCAGAAGCTCAGGACAATCCCCCTCTCCCCCCCGCACCCCAGCCCAGGCAAGACGGTGCAGCCATGGCTTGTCCAGCCCAACCTGGTGTCTGGGTTTGGCCCTCTCCCCCCCACCGCGCTCGGCCCTAGGCACCAGCACTTGCCCGCGACCAGCTCCGAAGACACTTGTTCACCCCACGCATCCCTGCGAGAAAGGCCCAGAGCAGTGCGAATCTCCAGTGCCAACGCGTCGCCACCCTCCCGCGCCGAGTCACTGCCGGGCGCCGGGTGGGCTCCGGGGCGCCGGCTGCAGGCGGGGTGGTGCGGAGACCTGGGGGTGCGCACTCACCAGCTGCGGGTTTCGCATTAACGCAACCCCCCAACCAGGACAGGGCTCCCCGGGTTTGGACACTTGCGATGCTCCGGGGGCGGGGCCTCTGGAAGACCTGTCATTGGTCATATAGGCTAGCCCCGCCCCTAAGGGAGGGGTCAGGAGGACCCAGGCGTCCAATCCGAGCCGCCCCTGAAGGATGGAGAGCCCAGATGCAGTTGCCTCCGCGGCTCCCCAGCCTCCAGGGCCCCGGCCGCTGCACCCCGACCTTCCAGGGCCTCGCGGTCCGGCTCTGACCCAGCTTCACGGCGTCTGTCCTGTGCGCGGCTCGGAGGTCTCCGCTGCGGCCGAGCACGTCCGCTCCGCCCGAGAGGCCACGTGCGCTCCGGCCGGGCCTGGGCTTCTCGCGGGCGCCCCACCTGGAGGGCGGACCCTGTTGCCTCCTCCGCTCTTCCCTTTTCCTCCTCCGCTGTCTTTTCTCCTTTATCGGCGATGCTTTTCCTAAATCTGAGATATCGTGCTTCTTGAAAATATGCTTACCCAATCTACACCCACATAGAGAACCGCTGCCTTGTCCTGTGTCATGGCTTGTTATGCACCAGCATGCTAAGATAGCTTGAAAATTAAATACGTGTCGATTTTTGGGGGGGTTATTTGCTTAATCCCCACGCGAGAATATTTTTTCAATTGATTTTTAGAGAGAGTGGGAGTGGGAGACACACAGAGAGAGGCAGAAACATACATGTGAGAGAGAGACATCAATTGCTAACCTTCTGCAGGAACCCAGATTGGGGCCGGGATCCAGCCTGCAACCGAGGTGCATGCGCCTGAGGGGAATGGATACCCGGACCCTTCAGTCCTCTGGCCCATGCTCTAACCACGGAGCAAAACTGGCTAGGGCGTAAAACTAAATGTATTGGGGTGAATCATCACCGTTCAAAGCAAGTCTCCTTCAGACACCATATATTTGACCCTTTTCCCTGGTCCTCACCTTCCCCCCATCCACCCCACCCGGCCCTTCTACATTCTGCTTTGTTGTCTGTATCTATGAATTTATTTATTTATTTTATTTTTTTAACATATTACCTCCACTTATTTTATTTTATTTTTTAAATATATTTTATTGATTTTTTACACAGAGAAAAGGAGAAAGATAGAAACATCGATGAGAGAGAATCATTGATCAGCTGCCTTTTGCACACGCCCTACTGGGGATGTGCCCGCAACCAAGGTACATGCCCTTGACCGGAATCGAACCCGGGACCTTTCAGTCCACAGACCGACGCTCTGCCACTGAGCCAAACCGGTTTCAGCTGTATCTATGAATTTATTGATCTCTTTTTATCTACACAAATGTGGTCCATTTTATGGATGGGCTAATTGAATATTTGTGACTCCCCAGAGATAGGCAAAGGTGTTAAATGGGTGAATACTCACACTCAAGATCCCCAAAGCCACTTTGATTGTGTTCATTCTCTCAAGTATTCAGTGAGCCCTACTATGTGTTTGGGACCAGTGTAGGTATTGGAAATACAGTAGTGAACAAAGCAGACAAAAATCTTGACTACCAGGGTCCTCCTAAGGGTGTAAGAATATGAACAATAATCAAGAGGATTTCAGATCTGATAGGAGAGGATGAGAGGGGAGTGGTGGGTCGGGGGCTTCTTGAATGGGCGGGGAAGGCACCTCTGAGGAAGTAATGTCTGAGATGCCTTGAATGATGAGAAAGCGTTAGCCATTTGAAACTCTGGAGGAAGAGTGTCTGAGAGAACTACGGCCTGGCTGACGTGGCTCAGTGGTTGAGCGACAACCTATAAACCAGGTGGTCACGGTTCAATTCCGGGTCAAGGTACGTGTCCAGGTTGGGGGCTCAATCCCCAGTGTGTGGTGTGCAGAAGGCAACCAATTAATGATTTTCTCTCATAACTGATGTTACTATCTCTCCCTCTCCTTTTCTCTCTGAAATCAATAATAATAATTTTAAAAAATGAGAGAACTGCAGAGGCGTTAAGGTAGGAATGAGTTGGGCCTATTTGAGAAACAGAAGGCTATGTGGCTGGAGCCAAGTAAATTAAGAGGGAAATGTGGTGTGGAGGATGGAAGTGGGTTAGGCAGGGACCGGTTATGGCTGGAACCCCACCTCTAAAGAGGCCAGGCTGCTTGCCCTGATTCAGAGTCAGTGGGAGGCTGGGCTGGGAGCACTGAAAGTTCCTTCTAGAAGGGCTTCTGCTATGGAAGGACTAAGGAACAGTCCTTTGAAAAGGACATCCATTTGCTCTGCAAACATGGACGAGTATCTACCTAGAAATGGAACTAGTTCCTGTTCTTGAGAATCTCATAGTCTAGTAAAGAAGATTGTGATGAAAATGCATAGGAGTATATATAATTAAATTCACATTTAGCCTGGCCAGTGTTGCTCAGTGCAGGCTTGATCCTCAGTGTGGGGCGTGCAGGTGGCAGCTGATCATCACTGACATTTCTCTCGCTTCCTCTCCTCTCTAAAATCAATAAAAAATATTTTAAAATATTTACATATTAATATAAATGAAAAGGAAACAATAGTTGTTCTGGCAGAATAGTGGGTTAAATGAAGAACTCTGTTAAAGAGAATAGGTATTGGATACAGGCCTCACCGAGGGGACAAATGTGAAAGGACCCTCAAAGATTAATGGGAGCCGAAACCTGCGGACTCAAGGGTCCCGGGTTCAATTCTAGTCAAGGGTATGTCCCTTGGTTGTGGGCACAACCCCAGTAGGGAGCGTGCAAGAGACAGCTGATCGATATTTCTCTCTCATTGATGTTTCTAACTTTCCCTCTCTCTTCCTCTCTGTAAAAAATCAATAAAATATATTAAAAATAAAAAATTAAAAAAAGATGAGTGGGAGTCTGCCAGATTAACAAAGAGATAGCAGCTTGGGAGATGGTCCAAGGACACTTCACCGAAGTATTTAGTGAGGCCTACTGTGTGCCCGGCCCCATTGCGAACTGGGAGGTAGAAAGTTGAATTTGGGAAAGTCTTTCTCTTCCTCCTTACTCTGCATGTCACACATTTGTCTTCAGCCTCACTAGAACTTCAGGTCTTGAATCCCTAGCAAATTGTGCATACTCTTCACTCTGCCTAGAGCACTCTGCCTCTTGCCCCACCCCCACCCCACTTCCTCCTTTCTCAGTTTATTCCAGTCATTCTTTACCACTTCTTTAGAGGAGAGATCTTTGGATCGTTTTTATTGTTGTTGTTTGTTTATTTTTTAAATATATTTTTTATTGATTTCAGAGAGAAAGGAAGAGAGATAGAAACATTAATGATGAGAGAATCATTGGTCAGCTGCCTCCTGTATGCCCCCCACTAGGGATTGAGCCTGCAACCCAGAATTGAACCTGGGAACCTTCAGTCTGAAGGCTAATGCTAGGGCTGGAGAGGCCTCAGGATCACACAGAATTCTCTGCTGCATGTGTGCTTCTAGCATAGTCCTTACCACACTTGAAATCACCTGTTCATTGGGAATCTTCTCTGTAGAAACTGAGGGCAGAGACTTGGTCTTATTCATCCTTTTGTCCCCAGTAACCAGCACACACTAGGTCATGCTGTTGAGTGACTATCCACAAGAAACTCTAGATGTTGTCAAGGTAAGAAACATTGAAACCTGGAGAGAAATTTTGTGACTTTATTTGAGCTTGACAATTACTGGGAAGCAAAGTCTAAAAGGACTGAGACAGTGTTATAGAGAATGGCAGTTTTGCTCTCTGTATTATACACTAATGGCCTGGTGCACGGATTCGTGCACATTGAAAGGAAATTAATTAGAAGAAATATTTTAATATGTCCATTTATCCTTTCTCTATAATAGAACTGCTAAGCCACACCAGCGGGACTAAGTGGTTTTTGAAGTCTTCTCCCAGGAGTTTGCAGTGAAATGAAATGTTATTAATTTGTCAGTTTCTAAAAGCTGGCAATGAGCCGAAACCAGTTTGGCTCAGAGAGCATCGGCCTTGGATAGGTCCCAGGTTTGATTCTGGTCAGGGGCAGGTACCTTGGTTACGGGCACATCCCCAGTAGGGGGTGTGCAAGAGGCAGCTGATCGACGATTCTCTCTCATCGATGTTTCAAACTCTCTATCCTTCTCTTCCTCTCTGTAAAAAATCAATAAAATATATTTTAAAAAGATAAAAATAAAAGCTGACAATGAGCCCTGATAATAATTCAGAATGTCTCCTTTTAGTAAAGTTGATGCATATGTTCCTTCCTCCAGATTTATGGGGTAACTGATGACTATTTCATAAGGAGAAAGACTATGTTTGCCAACAGAAGTAGATTTCAGGTTGAGGAGCAGTATAGGGAGGTCTTCTGGCCAACAGAAATGAAAAGCTTCTGAAAATATATTTAGTTGAGCTTTTGTTTGTTTTTTGTAAGTGGAAACAAAGTTTATTGAGAGACTGAGGGGCTCCCTGCAGCAGGCAGAGAGGGGCCCTGAGTGGATTTTCCCTTGTTGAGTTTGAATTGTGCCATTTGTATGCTCAACCCATCCAGAGAACTGGGGTGGTAAACACAATAAAAACACGGTAGCCCTAACCGGTTTCGCTCAGTGGATAAAGCTTTGGCCTGCGGACTGAAGGGTCCCAGGTTTGATTCCGGTCAAGGGTATGTACCTTGGTTACTGGCACATCCCCGATGGGGGGTGTGCAGGAGGCAGCTGATTGATGTTTCTTTCTCATCGATGTTTCTAACTCTCTCTCCCTTTCCTTTCCTCTCTGTAAAAAATCAATAAAATATATTAGGGGGAAAAAAGATTCCTACTACATGACCTTTTTAATCCTCACCGGAGGATGTTTATTGATTTTAGAGAGAGAAGAAGGGAGAGAGAAGACTATTGATGTGAATGGGAAACAATGATTTGTTGCCTCCATCCCCCCCATATGTTTCTCAACAGGGAATCAAACCCACAATCTTTTGGTGTGTGAGACAATGGTCTAACCAACTAGCCACACCGGCCAAGGCAAAGGTTCCCCTACCCCCGCCTTTAAAAAATATATATTTTTATTGATTTCAGAGAGGAAGGGAGAGAGAAAGAGAGATAGAAACATCAATGGTGAGAGAGAATCATGAATTGGCCACCTCCTGCATGCCCCTACTGGGAATCAAGCCAGAAACCCAGGCATGTGCCCTTGACTGGAATCAAACCTGGGACAGAGAGGGAGCCCTTTGGCTACTGAGTCCAATGCTGATGCTCTATCCAATGGGCCAAACCAGCTAGGCAAAGGTTCCCCCTTTTGTCCCTTTTCTCCTCCAGCTGTCCATTAGCACGGTAAAAGTGAATCTTGCTGATTTCATAGGAAGCAAGGAGCATTCTCATATCTAGATAATGCAGCTGTCCAGCTGCAGCTTCAGCTAAATGATCTCCTATTGCTGTCATGGCG